CATAGGAATCGACCATGTTCGAGTGATAAAACACTTTTCACAAGATTGTGAGCTTCTATGTTTGTTGCTCCACCCTCGTGCACAAAATTAACATTAAGAAAATGTCTCGATCGCACCTTAATCTCCGTAAGAACCGAGCTATACTCGCATCTACTACCTTCATTGATGTTCTTGATAACTGTGGAAGCATCACATGCGATAATAACTTTCTGAATGTTTAAATCCTCCGCCAAAGTCAGCGCTTCACAGCATGCTATTGCTTCAAGAGTTGCTGGGTCGGTGCAATTGTTCAATACCCTCGCTGAAGACCCCAGGTACTTCCCTGTATCATTCCTGCATATGACGGCAGCTGCTCCCTTTGATCCTATCTTGTTTGTACCACCATCAACATAAATTTTGGCCCAGCCCTCCGGCGGTGGCCTCCATCTCGGCGCTGCTGCTTGTAGATTTGGAGCAGCTTTATCCAGTTTTGTGTTCACCATTTGAAGGTCGGCAATGAGACTGGTAACAAAACCATGAATAGTCACCGGGCTTTGGTAGATAGATTCATGAATTGCCTTTCGGCGCGCACCCCAGATCACCCAAAGTGTCAATAAAATTTTGATGAATTCTTCATGTGTTGTAGTCTCCATCATGTGGAACAGCCACTCCTTCGCATCCGAGCAAGAATTCATGCACATGTGCTCTATGAGGGATTCATCAAGTAATGCCCAAACACAACGTGACATGGTACAATCTATTAACGAATGTCTCCAAGAGTCATTCTCTGCTTGACAAATAACACATCGAGGGCTAGTGGTCATTTTCCGATGATGCATCTCTGAGCCCGAAGGGAAAGAGTGTTGTGCGAGCCGCCAAACAAAGACTCGCACTTTAGATGGTACCTTGATCTTCCATAGTTGTGACCATGCCTTTTCCACCCTGTTCGAACTAGTGCTTGGTCTGCCTTCAAGCCAATCTTCCCTAACTTTTTTCGTTGTTACCATCATTCTGTACGCTGAACGGACAGTGAAGTTACCAGACTTTTCGTGATGCCATGCCCAGAAATCAGTCTGCGATGACGTGCTGATCGGAATGGCGCGAATAGCTTGTACGTCCATGGGCAAGAAAACTCTCTCTAACTCTGCCATATTCCACTGGCAAGAAGTCGGGTCAATTAGTTCGGCCACAAGTTCTGGTGTGTCTGATACTAGGGCTGCCACTGGTCTGAGCCTTTCGGTCCTCGGTATCCAATTATCTCCCCATATTTTCGTTGCTGCACCATTGCCTATTCTCCTGATCAAACCAAGCTTTAGCATGTCTCGTCCTTCAACTATGGCTCTCCACACTTGAGATGGAGAAGAGCCTAACGATGCTTCCATGATATCTGACAAAGGGAAATATACTGCTTTAATTATACGCGCACTCAGGGTCTCCGGAAACTGGAGAATGCGACATGCTTGGCGCGCTAGGAGGGCCAAGTTGAATAATTCAAAATCCTTGAATCCCAGTCCGCCCATATATTTTGGCATCGTCATAGTGTACCATGAGACCCAGTGTGGTTTCCGCTTGCCATTCTTGCTTCCCCACCAGAAGCTTCTTATCATCGAATTTAACTTCTCACATAGACCTCTAGGCAGTTTAAAGCAAGCCATCGAAAAAGTTGGAACTGCCTGTGCAACTGACTTTATAAGCACCTCTTTGCCCCCTGCCGAGAGGATTTGCTCCATCCATCCTTGGATCCTGTTCCACACCCTGCCCTTTAGATATTTAAACGTACCATTCTTGCTTCTTCCAACATCCGAGGGCATACCCAAATATCGCTCATTCAAACTTTCATTAGGAACATCCAAGATTACCTTGATACTTTCTCTGATAGTGTTTGGACATCCCTTGCTGAAGTGAATAGAACTTTTTGCAAAGTTAATTCGTTGTCCCGAGGCCTGACAATAGATCTCTACCACTTCTTTAATTGACGTTGCTCCTTCGGTGCTTGCTTTTGCGAATAACAGGCTGTCGTCTGCAAATAAAAGATGATTGACCGGGGGTGCTGTGGGCGCCACAAGGATGCCCGATAGGTTTTCCGAGTTCCCCCTGCTCCTTAGAAGGCAAGAGAGACCTTCAGCTGCTAGCAAAAACAAATATGGGGAGATGGGGTCTCCTTGACGAATCCCCCTAGACGGTTTAAAGACCTCCGTCCTCTCCCCATTGAACAACACCGAAAAAGTTACTGATGTCACCACTTTCATTATGGAAGCGACCCACCTGTCGCTAAAACCCAACTTCAACATTATGGCCTTGAGATAGTCCCATTCCACCCTATCGTAAGCTTTCATCATGTCTAGTTTCAAGGCGCAAAATTGCGAGCTCCTGCCTCGCTTCTTCTTCATAAAATGCAAACACTCATACGCAATTATAATATTGTCTGTGATGAGCCTCCCTGGCACGAACGCAGACTGCTCTTCAGAGATTATCTCTGGGAGTATCCGCTTTAGCCTATTTGCTTGCACTTTAGAAACAATTTTGAGAATAACATTGCACAAACTAATTGGCCTAAATTGGGTGAGAGATGATGCATCTGAAACTTTGGGAATGAGAACAAGTAAAGTTTGGTTAGCCTCACCAATTTCTTCAACTCCGTTTAAAATATTCAATACTGCCTTAGTCACTTCTTCCCCACATATGTCCCAATGACGCTGAAAAAAATGTGCTGGAAAGCCGTCAGGTCCTGGCGCCTTGGTCGGAAACATTTGGAACAATGCCAACTTGACTTCCTCCGCTTTATACGGTGCGTTTAGTGATAGGTTCATCTCTGGTGTTACTTTCCTTGGGACACAGGAAAGCACTCTCTCCATACCCATTGTACGTTCAGAAGTATACAATGCCTTATAGAAATTCACAGAGTGGACCTTTAACTGTTCGACATCCTCACAAAGAGACCCATCAGGCAACTGGAGCCGTTCTATCCGGTTCTTTTTTCTCCTTTTGCTCGCTTTCTGCTGAAAAAATCGGGTATTACTATCTCCCGCCGAAAGCCACTGGATGCGTGAACGCTGTTTTTGCATGATCTCCTCACGATGGTACCATTCTGTGAGCTTCTGAGTAATATTGACTTCTGCCTCTGAAGGTCCCACTCGATCTGGTATCGAACGAAGCCTTTCCAGTTCAGTTTGTAGTCTATTTATCTCCTTTTTTACCTGACCGAACACGCTGCTGTTCCAGCCCAATAACTCCCCCGAGATCCTGTTTAATTTATTACCCAACGCAAGCATAGAACTGGATGGTTGACCTGAGCACCACGCCTCTGTAATAAAAGGGGTAAAAGCTTCATGCGTCTCCCACATCAGTTCATATCTGAAGTGCTTCTCTTGTGCTCTTCTCTGCTGGGTAGGTTCAGTTAGCTGCAAGAGAATTGGGCTATGGTCTGACCGGGCAGTCGTGAGATGCCGGACACTTGCTGAATTGAAACGCAGCCACCAGTCGGTCGTTGCAAGGGCACGGTCAAGGCGTACCCGTGTATAGGACCCGCCCCTCACTTTCTTTTCAAAAGTCCATGAAGGACCAATAAAACCCAAGTCGCATAGACCAGCGACATCAACAGCTTCCCTGAATCCCGTCATCTGCCTCGGATTTCTTTCGCCAACTCCAAAATGTTCGTCTGCCGATAATACTTCGTTGAAGTCGCCAATGCATACCCAGGGCAGGTTGGATTCACTTCGGAGGAACCTCAGCAGGTCCCAAGTCTTCTGTCGTTCATTGACATTTGCTTCACCATAAATGCAGGTTATCCGCCATGGTTGTTCCTCATCTTTCTTAACTATCATGTCAATGTGATACTGTGAAAAATGAATAAGCTCTAGATTTAAATTATCATTCCAGTACATTGCCAAACCACCACTTCTTCCTCTACTACCTACAGTATAACTTCTATTGAAACCAAAAGAATGAGCTAGATTCCTAGCCCTCAACCCTCCAACTTGAGTTTCTTGAAGGCAAAGCACTGAGGGGGCAAACCGTTGCACAAGCGTGCGTAGCTCTCGAACTGTCGCGTCGTTGCCAATCCCGCGACAGTTCCAGCTCATAATACTCATTGGACCCGGCGGTCCTCCTCAAGGGAGGCCGCCGATATAGCTTCAGAGGTGGTTGATTTGGAGGGGGAGGCCACACCACTTGTTCCACCAGGATCTCCATCTCCGGGATACAAAAATTCCAGCAAGTACCAAAACAGATCCACCTTGCATGCAGCCTCACCTCCATCCAGTGCCTCTTTTTGCACGTCCGGCCGACGAGTCGTGGCTGCCAAGTATCTCTTTCCTGCTCCAGGAGCTGAACTCGCTCCTCCAGCCATGGTGATCCGCAGCAGCCGATCCCATCTGGACCGAGAATAAAACCCTTGACACCCTCGTAAAAAGCCATCGAAAACATAACGCCAAGGCCGGGGAGCCCGTGCGGACGTCATCGGCTATCACGAAGGAGGCAGGGGACGAAGACTCAACGCCGGCGTCGCCGCCGCCGGAGTAGGTAAACCCTAAACGAGAGGGTAAGTAGAATAAAAATAGATAATTTATCAAACATGAACGGGCGCAACAAAGCGCGGCATCATGGTCTAGTACTGTCCGAAGCGAACCAGCGCTCTTCACATTTCGCAGCAAACAAGCCCGCTCCTTATTAGTCCGCCCACAGATTACGTCGGCCCAAAAAGATAAAAAAAATAAAATGGCAGATCCACCCCGCAAAAAAATAAATAGAATGGCAGATCCACAATGAAGCCCAGCCTAGGCATAACCCGGCCCACACCAACCAGCCGCGAAGCCGCATCGGCGCGTCCTATATATTTGCCCCCTCGCCCTAGGGTTCCTCTTTAGACGCAGCCGCTTCACTTCTCCCAGGTAAAGGTAAGCTCCCCCACGCGCCGCCGCCGCAGCCGCGGATCCAAACCCTCTCCTCCGTTCCCCGCCTCGCTTCTCCCCGTCGCTAACGTGGGTCGTGGCTTCTCCTGGCTGTGCAGGAAAGGTTCGCCCATGGCTCCGTCGCAGCCCAAGTCGGGCCTCTTCGTGGGCATCAACAAGGGCCACGTCGTCACCAAGCGCGAGCTGCCGCCGCGCCCGTCCGACCGCAAGGGGGTAAGGTTCTTCCACTCCTACATCCGAGACATATCTTGCATACAGATCACGCGGGTGCTGTTGTTCTTCTGCCGTTCTGTTGATCTGTGCGGGTTTATGCGTTAGGCTCGATTCCTTGGTGGTAGATTATGTGATGTGGTAGCTTGCTTGCTTCGCCATGGGCCAACGGCGAGTCTTCCCGTTGCTGGTTTTGGTGGATCTAAAGCATGCTGCCATTTCTATTGGTGGAAGTTTGTGTCTTCCCGTTGGTGTTTGGTTGAGTGATTCAGGAAAGCTAGTTGGTTAATCCGTGTAATATTTTGTCTTGCTAATAATGATCATCTCGGTTTGCTCAGCTGGTCATTTGAAGATATACATATGAAATGGCCATGCACATCAGATTTTTGGCTATCTTAGAAATTTCTTTGACTATGTAGTGTAGGTAAATAAATGCTCTTAGCAGACTGGATTTGAGGCGTTCTAGTTTATTTGGAAGACAAAACTCAGTTTAGATTCTGAATTTATTGAATTTGTGACCATTACTTCATTCCCAAGTGCAATAGATCCTTTGTAGTAGGAAGAATTCATATTATTGTGATGTTTAATTCCTGCTTAAGTTCTTCATTCTCATTGTTCTGTCTGGTTACCATGTTGGTTTGCAGAAAGGTACCAAGAGGGTGCATTTCGTCAGGAACTTGATCAGGGAGGTAGCTGGGTTTGCTCCGTATGAGAAGCGTATCACTGAGCTTCTCAAGGTTGGCAAGGACAAGCGTGCCCTGAAGGTGGCGAAGCGAAAGTTGGGTACCCACAAGAGGGCGAAGAAGAAGAGAGAGGAGATGTCCAGTGTCCTCAGGAAGATGAGGTGTGTAAAATGTTGCTTCACTCTGAATTTTTTGTTACATGTCCTGAGCTTACTTGCAGTATTTATCGCTATCTTTGTTACTCTCAGTGAAACCAGTACTTTAGCCAGTGATAGTTCATATATGATTAATTTTCAGTTCTTTATGGCAACCTCAAACTTGATTATGTTAATAATTATGTGGACTGTATACAATGTGATGGGAAGACATCCGAGTCTTCTAGCTTTGTGGTGGAGCAAACCTTGCATGTTTGTATATTCCTAAGCAAACGTCACAAAGTGAGCCTTCTGGTGTTGAGGTTCCCCTAGGGTTTCCTCCACTGGATGGCAGTCTCGTATTCCATCGCCCTTGATAGCAGCGTTGCTGCATTTAAACTTTGGGAATTGCCATGAGACACACATCTCTTCTTCCTAACATGTTTTAGTCTACACAATTGTGCCTTTCTCTGTATAAAAAACTGTCTTCTGTGTGATGGGGGGACATCCGAGTCTTCTTGCTTTATGTGGAGCAAACATTCTATGTTTGTATATTCCTAAGCAAACATCACAAAGTGAGCCTTCCGGTGTTGAGGTTCCCCTTGGGTTTCCTCCACCTGATGGCAGTCTCATATTCCATCGCCCTTGATAGCAGCGTTGCTGCAGTTACACTTTGGGAATTGCCATGAGACGCACATCTGTTACTGTATCATTTCAAACACATCATCATGGATTGCATGTTTTGGTTTACACTTTGTGCTTAATTTTTTCTGGATAATAACTACTTTCAGGGATAATAACTAATTTTCTGCTGTGATGTGCTACAGATCTGCTGGAACTGGAACCGAGAAGAAGAAATAGAGCATCCCAAGCTCATGAAGTTGATGGCAATCTTCTGTTCTGGTGTCCAGTTTTTACTGCATCTAGAACCAACTAGACTTGAAACTGTTATCCGCCAGCTAAACATTATGCTATGTTGAACCTCCTGTCTTGTGAGATTTTTGATCTAACTTGCAATGCATCGTTTGCTCCTATTTCTGAGTTTGCTTCTATGACCTGTCAGTTCGATTCCATCTGCCATTCATATGCAAGTGGCTTTACAATTGGTGGCATATATGTGCCTAATTTCTGTGATGTAGGCTCCTTGAATATGAAATTTTAACATCTTGCTATGCTAGCAATTCGCCTGGCATAATATATACTCCCTCCGTTCCAAAATAGATGACCCAACTTTGTACTAATTATGTTGGAACGGAGGGATTAACTATTTTACTGTGTCAGCATGGACATAAGCCAGATGATTTGGTTGTCCTTTTTGCCATTTATTTTCCGCGAATGTGTAGAATAGTCATCATAAATACGCATGGAGACGTTGGGGTGCTCAGCCCAATTGACATTAGCTCAACTCTGGGGACTCTGGTATAATGTTGTTGATCCCAATAGCGGCAGCACGGGGCCTGGCCGCGCGTCTCCGTGGATAGTCTGCATCCATAGCCAAGCCGTGAGCAAGTTAGAAGATGCGCACCAGTTCAAGAGCATCTGATCAGGAGGCGCAGCCGTGGATCGACGGCAGCGAAAAATCTCTTGCAGACATGCCGAGAGAAGGAACAACGGACCTGATAGTTGGAAACAATATTTCCTTGATTGATGATAACTGTTACAGAGTACAGAGAATATGTAGGGAGAGTGGAGCACCCGCGAAAATCTTGAAGACAGGAGACGGCAACCCTGTCGTGAAAATGTCAGCATACTGAGAGCTGGATGGAACATGTAGAACGCGAGCTTCCCCCAGAGCCATGTGCTTGGTTCGTTGATGCTGAACTGGGTTGCTGGCGAGATAAAAAGCACTGACATTGTCACAGTAGATGAGAGTGGCACGAGCCGGAGGGAGTTTGAGCTCCTGGAGAAGTTGGCGTAACCAGCAGGACTCAGCCACACAGTTTGCAATGCCCCTGTACTCAGCTTCGGCACTTGAACGCGAGATGGTAGGTTGCCTCTTTGAAGACCAGGAAATAAGATTGACACCAAGGAACACACAAAACCCGAAAGTGGACCTGCGGGTGTTCGGGCAACCTGCCCAGTCGGCATCGGTGTAAGCAAGAAGATCCATAGAGGGGGATTTGTAGAGATGAAGACCGTAATGAGACGTGCCTTTGATGTAGCGCAAAAGCCGTTTGACAAGTTGCATGTGCGTATCCTGAGGGGCATGCATGAAGAGGCACACTTGTTGAACGACATAGGCAATGTCTGGGCGTGTAAGAGTGAGATATTGGAGTGCACCAGCAAGGCTACGGTAATGTGTAGGGTTGGAGAGGAGGGCGCCAGTGTGAGAGGATAGCTTGGAGCTCGTGTCAATGGGTGTGGAAACGGGCTTGCAGTTGAGCATCTTGGCGCGCTCGAGAATCTCTAGGGTGTACTGCTGTTGGCACAAGAATAGGCCAGAGGAGTTGGTGGTGACATTGGTGCCCAAGAAGTGATGTAGAGCACCCAAGTCAGTCATGGAGAACTCGGACTTGAGAGAGTTGATGATATATATGAGGGTGGAAGAAGAGCTAGCCGTAAGTATGATATCATCAACGTAAACGAGCAAGTAAGCAATGGAGTTACCATGGTGCATGATGAAGAGAGAGGAATCACTCTTTGATGCCCGAAATCCCAAGTGAAGAAGAAATGCCTGAAACCGGAGAAATCAAGTCCTGGGGGCTTGCTTAAGGCCGTAGAGAGACTTGCGAAGGAGGCAAACATGATCTGGTTTGGAGCTGTCCACGAACCCCGAAGGTTGGCTGCAGTACACTGTCTCATTGAGATCCCCATGAATAAATGCATTGTTGACATCGAGCCGGTGAATAGGCCATGAGCGAGAAGTAGCAATGCTGAGTACCACACAGATAGTTGCTGGTTTGACCACGGGGCTGAAAGTTTCACCATAATCCACACCCTCTTGTTGAGTAAAGCCACGTACGGCCCACCGAGCTTTGTAGCGAGCGAGAGAACCGTCCGGGTTGAATTTGTGCCGAAAAATCCATTTTCCCATGACAATATTGACACCTGCAGGTTTAGGCACCAACGACCAAGTAAAGTTGTTCATTAAAGCATTATATTCATCGAGCATTGCCTGGTGCCAATGGGGGTCTTTGAGGGCTGATTTGTAGGTGGGTGCGATGGGAGAAATGGTGTCGAAGGAAGCAGCAGCAAGAAATAAGCACTTGGGCATGAGATAACTAGTTTTAGCGCATGTGGACATCCTGTGTGCATTGTTGGGTGGCTGAACCGAAACAACGTGGCGAGGGAGGCGTGGCACAGGTAGAGTGGATGGGGCGGAGAGCAAGGCAGATTCTGTGGGGATAGGTGCAGAGGACGCAGCTGCAGGGGAGCGTGGGATGCGAGGCGGATGCAGTGGCAGGCGGGCTGGTGGGAACAAATCGCGAGGTAGATCGGGGGATGGTTGGGGAGACAGGCGCGCTAGACGAGGCGGACCGGCAACGAGTGGGGGGGTGAGCCAGGGGTGGGCGAGCACGTGGCGGGGTGGGTGGAAGAGGGTGTTGCGGGATTGGGCGGCCGAGTCGCAGGTGGTGGAGGTAGGCCCCGTCCGAGGTAGGTGGAGGCAGGTGCGTGCGATCCAAGAGATCCGGGTGGGGCGGGTTTGCATGGGGATTTTCTGTGGTCGTGGGGTTGGTGTGCCAAGGCGGTGTGGGCGTGTACGGAAACACGTCGTCATCAAACGTGACATGGCGGGACACGATGACGCGGCGAGTGGTGAGGTCGTAGTACCGATAGCCTTTGTGCTCGAGAGGGTATCCGAGGAAAATGCAGCGGGAGGAGCGAGGAGCAAGTTTATGGTCGGTGGTGGCATATAAATTTGGGAAACATAAGCACCCAAAAACCCGTAAGTGTGAATGGTCGGGGTGTGTACCATGGAGAAGGTAGTATGGCGTGTGAGGTGCAATGGCGCGAGAGGGGCGACGGTTTAGCAAGTACGTGGCATGTGGAGGGCCTTGACCCAGAACGGGGGAGTGAGGTTGGCTTGGAGTAAAAGCATGCGAACGATATCGTTGGTTGTGCGAATGAGTCGTTCGGCTTTACCGTTTTGGTGGGAGGTGTGGGGGCAAGAAAAGTGATAGACAACACCATTGGAAGAGAAGAATGAGCGGAAGGAAGAGTTGATAAACTCACCACCGTTGTCACATTGCATGCTGTGGATTATGACGTGAAATTGTGTGTTAACGTATGTGAAGAAGCGTTTGAGAATGGTGGAGGTTTCGGACTTGTGGCGCATAGGAAAGGACCACGAATAATGTGTGTAATCATCCAACACAATGAGGTAGTATTGATATCCAGAGAAGCTTACAACCGGAGAGGTCCACAAATCACAATGAATTAATTGAAAGGGAGCACAAGTTTTTCTAGTAGAGGAAGGAAAAGGGAGACATGGTTGGCGTCCTAGTTGACATGCACTACATACAGAGTGCGACTCATTATTACAAACACTAAGAAAGTCGCGAGATAATGTGGAGAGAGTGTGAGCACTTGGATGTCCAAGTCTGTGGTGCCACAATGCCGAGGAAGTGGTGAAGAAAGAGGCCGCCTGTGCCGGATTATTGCCGATGAAGGGGTAGAGGTCGCCGGTGCTAGCGGAGATCATGAGAACTTTCCGAGTGCGTAGATCCTTCACAAGAAAACCACACGGGTAAAATTCAATGGAGCAAGAGTTATCCTTAGTAAACTTGCGGACAGAAATAAGACTAGTGATGACATTGGGGGAGACAAGAATATCGGTAAGTTTAAAATCATGAGGGGGGAGGATGGTGGATCCAGTGGCAGTGACGGGAAGAGAGTGACCATTGCCAACAAGAATGCTGCAAGGTACATGCTTTAACGAAGAACTTGACATGGTGGGGTTACCTTGACTTCCTGTCACATGGGAAGAGGCGCTGCTGTCGAGGAACCACTCGGTGCCGGGAGTGGTGGGGAAGCCGGAGTTGCTGTAGGCGGTGTTGAGCATGGCAAGGTGCTCCCATGACGGTGGTTGGAGCGGGTAGGACGGAGGAGGCGGTGCAGGCTGGTACATCGGGTAGGTGTGCGCATGGGAGCCGGGGCGCGGGCCGAGTGAAAGACCGTGGATGTCGCCTAGAGGGGGGGGGGTGAATAGGCGCTTTAAAATAATTACGGTTTAGGCTTGAACAAATGCGGAATAAACCTAGCGGTTAATTTGTCAAGAACAAAACCTACAACAACTAGGCTCACCTATGTGCACCAACAACTTATGCTAAGCAAGATAAGTAACTATGTGATAGCAAGATATATGAC